GTTTAATCTATTAATAAATTATACTCTTGATTTAATTAAACTTAAACCATGTCATTATGGAATTATTAATCTCCTTTAATTAAACACTTTAATTAATTTAATAAAGTCCATAAGGTGCAATTTGAACTACTCAAATACTTTAAGGTTCTAAATATAAATAAAATTCTAAATTAAATTTCTCCCTCTAATTATTTAGATATGATCACGCTTGTGGCCTAATCGCCTTGGCGACATATGTAAGAATCACATCACCAAGCTCCAACTGGAACGGACTTGGAATTATTCAACTTTGATTTGGATGATGTATGCGAGTCTTGATTTTTGGCAAGATTACTTAGTCACCATTTACTTGGATATGTGAATAAAGTGAATGATTATTGGATCTTATACACACTAATGTTTGTGGACCCTTCAGATCCGCCACAAGGGACTAAAAACAATACTAAGTCTTAATTACTGATAGTTTCAATAGATATGATTATGTTTATATGATTAAACATAAGACTAAGACTTTGAAAAGTTTCAAGGAGTATCGGAACAAAGTAGGGAATCAATTGGGTAGGAAGATAAAGGGTTTCCAATCTGAAAGGAAAGGAAAATTCCTTAGTATTGAGTTCTACAGTTATTTTAGAGATGGTGGAATAGTTTCCATAATTGGCTTCTCCATGTATACCATAATGTAATGGCATTTCAAAAGGAGAATCGAATGCTATATGGTTTGGTCCATGATGAGTCATGCTTCGCTAACAATTACGTTTTTAGGAATATACACTTGAAATAGTAGAGCATATTTTGAACCTTGTAACCAACTAAGTAGGTTTTGAAGATACCTCATGAAATGTGGAGTTAGAAAGTTCTCTCATATTTAGATCTGGTGTGATGAGGTCTTTCGTTAGACGAGAAAACAATAACCAACTTGAATCGAGATCTAAGAAGTGTTACTTTGTTAGGTATTCACTAAAGACTTTTGATATTTATTTTAAAGACCCATGAGAATGTGGTTCTTATAACTCAAAATGAATGTTCTTTGAGTGAAAGAACATGTACATATCAAGAAGTCAGTGGGAGTAATATTGACCTTGAAGAAATTCGAGATATGACCGAAAATGAACCTATAGTTGGCACTTGCTCTAAATCGGAGGTTAGAAAACTGGTTGAGTCAAATGACATTGCCTTATCTCTTTTCAAATCTTGTAGAGTTAGTGCACCTTCAAGTTTTATAAGTTTCATCTAACTTTGGAAGTTGACACGTTGGTTGGTGATAAAAAAACTGATCATTTTGGTTAAGTTGATAACTATTACAAAGCAATGGTGGTTCATGAGACAACCAATGAAAAGAGTTAAGGATAGAAAAATTAAGTCCATGGAGGATAACCAAATATAGGATTGGTTGCTCTGAAGTGTAGTCTTATTATAGTGAGTTAGAATTAGATCTTCAATGTGAAGACTAACATGGATAGGAATATACACACATTCAAAGCTAGTATGGCGGAAATGAGTTTCGCTCAGACTCAAGAAATTGATTATGAGGGAACATTCTCACTAGTAGTTGAGAATGGTCTATTTGGTTGTTTGTTACCATTGTTGCCTTCTTTGATATAAGATAAGGTAAAATGGATGTTTAAAAGACTATTCTTAATAGGAAACCTTCAAAGTATGTATGATACATCATGAAAGGATTTAAATATACTAAGTATCAAAACAAGGTGTGTAAGCTTGTAAAGTCTATTTAAGCAAGCATCGCATAGCAAAAATATGTACTTTCATGAAGAGTCAAAGACTATTGTCTTTCAAGAAATCCATATTAGTTCTCAGTATATGTCAAAGCTAGTGAATTGTTGTTATCTTCCTGGTATTACATGTTGATGACAATATTAGTCATAAGAAATATTGTCTCTAAGTTGCGAAGTATAAAAGGCCAGGGATTGTTTCGTTATGATGGAAAAGGGGAAGAAACATTGATACTTAGTCTTTAGATCTAAAATTACATATCGAAATTTTTAATAGGATTCAGTTAAAGCACAATCTGTTGAAAGGTTTCAACATAAAAAAAGTCCAAGAAAGGAATTGCTCATATGCATAGTACTAGTGAGTTTAGTAAATCTCAAAAGTCCTTTGTACTAGTCATGAAAATGATAGGATGATTCGAGTCTTATATGCTTCAAATATAGGATAGATCATGAATGGTATGACTTGTGATTATTATTGCCTCATATGTTTTAAGCATCCTGAGATTATATCAAAAATTGGCTCGATTTGAATCGCTAGACACCTGTCAAGAACATTCTGAGGTATTGAAAGATACCAAAGAATGGTTGCTTGTAGACAGTAGAAAACATGATTGAGAAGAGTTATATTGACTTGAATTTTAGAGATGACTCTGAGTCATAGTCTAAATGTACATTCGTTTTAAATTATAGTGCGGTAACATGAAAGGTTTCATGTAGAAGATGGTGGTACACTCAACAATAGGAGTCAAATTACTTTAGTTCAAGTGAAGCATCTAAGGAGGGTACCTAGACTAGAAAGCTTCTTATTTTATCTTGGAGTTGTTTTGAATAACAAATTTCCATTAGTGATCTTTTATGAAGTACAGTTGTGTTGACTAATGATTCATGAAGTCATAGAAAGATCGATGTATAGAAGGAGGAAAACCCAATACATCCAAGAAAAGGGTTGATGATGGAGATCTATTTGTAAAGTGGATATCTTTTCGATGATTCGTTCACAATAGTGATAACCAAAGGAAAACATGAGATGAACTGGCATGAGAAATGTTGACAAGTTTAGTTATTAAGTTGATTACCCCAAAACATTTGTATATTCAGTAAATTTGTAATTATTATGACGATTAAATAATGGGGAATTATTTATATTCAAAGAGTATGATGCCATAGAACAATTAGATTATTATTGTGTTTCATTTTGTGTGTTACATTCTGAATATTAATTTATTCGAAGTTCCACAGTAAATTATACTTTTGGGAGTAGGTATTGATTTAAGATTGTCATGGAATATTTGTAGATTGTCCATGATGATTGGACATTGCATGGGGATTGCTGCAATATTCATGAGTACTTGGAAAATAGGGATTTTAATTATTCGTTAAACCCAACCTTAGAGATTACTTCATGGATTCAATCACGAGTAATTCAAAGACGATAATATCTTCTATTCTTCAAACAGAGATATATAAGTCATAGTTTGCAAGTCTTTTGTACATTGGTTTGCATCAACGCATCCATAACTGGATGTCATAAAGTGTAATTCCTTGTTTGACATGATAAGTAAAAGATATGATTATATAGTCAAAGTTTATTCGTTCATTTTGCCTTAACAGGAAAAAGCTATATATTTGGGCCCCTCGATGATTTGTTTTCGACATCAGAAGTGCTTGGGCGAGCCCAGACTAAATTGATGTGTTCAACTAGTAGTCTGAATTCAGTCTTCATAAATTAGAAATCGAGAAACAAAATCCTAGACTATGATTTTTATTTGTATCAATTTCTCATATCCATACAATATATTGTAGAATGAAGGAAAAGTTGAACACTTACTTTAGAGAGAACGTTTGATTCTATCAGAGTTCGACAATGGTTGTGGAAATCACTTTTTACTGGTTATTCAAAGTATATAATTGCAATTGTATTTGATGACTTATCTAAGTGGGAGACTACTGAATTAAAGTTCCTAAGGTCTTAACTAAATTGGTATGATCTTAGTGAATATAAGTAAATTCCTTTTTGGGTTATAACCATAAATAGCTAGAATTGATATTAGGACAGAGATAAAATGATTTGTTAATATACTATGTGATTAATATCTTAATTAGAAATTCTTAATAATAAATTTTAAATTAATTAGAAATAGTTAAATATTGATCAGAATTAATCTGGAATTAATTTGGGATTGAGTATAATTAGTTAAAGGTGCAAGGGGTGAATTATAATTGTTTAATAGTTAAACCAAAGAAGAAATTCTAGAACCCTCCATGAGCATGGACAGTTTTGGAGGAGTTTCTAGGGTATCTGGAAGCCTCTCGGTTGCTGATAAAGAAAAGATTTGAATTGAGGATTAAATCTAATATTTATTTGTTCAAATTTGGATTTATATGCAAGTTACCTAAACTATAGATAGGAGCCCTTAGACATGGATTTTCGTTGCTAAGCCTCCAAGGAAGATGAGATTTGATTTTCATCTTGTATCCTCTCTCTCTCTCTATCTCTCTCTCTCTCTCTCATGAGAAAAGCCACAACTTTCTAGTTTGCATGTGCCCATAATTGTTTATATGAAATCACTACTAGAAAACAGCCCTTTAATGATGCGCAAACAATGCCACTCGCTGATAGAGGACACACATTTGTGAGTGCCATAAAAAATAATGTCAGTTTTGAAAAATTTGAAGGATAGAGGACACACATTTGTGCACGCCCTAAAATTATTGTCAGAAAAGAAAAAAAAGAAATGCGGAGGGCGCCTTTCATAAAATGTGCGTCATGTAAATGTGTCGCTTTATAATTTTTAAGTGAAACACGTGTTTTAGGCGGGAAATGAAATCGACGAAAATTACCCCCGCCTATTGGATCCCAAAAATTAATCCCCCCGCCTCTTTTACTTAGCAAGAAAAAGCCCTAGGGCCTTCATCTTCGTCTTCAGCGGTGGGAATACCTAGGTTGATTCTTTAGGGTTCAACAACAGATTTGTAAACAGCAAACGTATACGATTCTGGATCTCGGCATGATTATGGCGCTTTGGAGCCGGCGACGTGAACATCATTCGTGAGAAAAGTTCATACAAAACTCATGAATTTCTATGGTTTCGATTATTGAGTAAGGTACGGGGAGGTGTAATTGTTTTGGACTCTTTACTAATTGAGTTGAAATTGAACCCTAAAAACGCAATCCACACTTCGAACTTCTCTGATTCTCTCTTCTTCCGCTCCCCAATCTCCTTGGTGGCGCTCTTTCGATTTCCATTTCCAACCTCAAACCACCGCTAAATGGAACCCAACAATTCAATCAATCACATCGACGATGATGGTGATCAGAACTCATTTCCAATCGATTCAACACAAGTAATCACACCAATCGATTCAACACAACTAAACCCTCTTTCCGAGTCATCAGTTCTAGGGCTTGTTCTCCTTGCTCATACGTTCTCATATGATATTCAATACCTCACTGAGTCTCTCCTTCTCGAAATCCTCGCAAGATTGCCCCTGAAATCAATTTTTAGGTTCAAATGTGTTTGCAAACACTGGCTAGACCTAATTTCCCAGCCTTCATTTGCCCGTTTCTATTGCTCGTGTATGCTCACAGCCAGCACATCGTCATCATCCTTACCTTTCAGAATTTTGTATAGGTACATTTATGTGTCAAAATTCACAGACGTTCTTGATCGATTCCGTCCCGAGACTTACAATTCCTCAAAATTCTCGGTCCTTTGCTCTTTAAAAAAAAAGCAGGTATTTTTCTATGTTCTTGTGGTCTCTTTACTTTCAGCTTGTATTGATAATATTGAACATATGTTTTGAGAATAGAATATTAAACCCTAGATTCTGGGAACTCGCAGATGTGGTAGATCAATCCTCAGATGGTCATTCTGGGTTCTAAGCCAGACTCATGGACTCGGGTTTAGGCTTTTACAAATCCATATACAATATTGAAATTGCAAGATTGGGGTTTGAACTTTGAAGTTGGTGGGCCTTTTGGCAGGGTGATGATGATGTCATCTTATTCGTATCTGTTCTGTTGCAGAAATGCTGTTATGGGAGTAGGGGGATTTGCTTTACAGAGGCTTTGCTTTTGGATATCAGTTCACTTGTCTACAAGGGCCGTTTTTTTGCAGGATATTATATTGCCATGTGTTATATATACACATAATAATTATTATTACATTTCAGGTCTAATACTACCAATAGCTCACGTGCCACTTCAACTTTCTTTATCTAACTTTTTCCTTGACTTGCATGTGCATTTTGTTACTGATTGTCCATGTTGTCAGGACCATGAAAGATTTATTTTCCTCTTTTTTCTTTCCCCATTCCATTGTTTTCTTTAACAATTTATTTTTATATATGTGAACGAATCATAGGTGCTATAGATTTGGTTATTTAATCCTATATTTCCTGTCCTAGAATCACATAAATAAAATGAGTTACAGTTATAGTATATAGCAACACAGGTCTATTAGTAGTTTAGGGCGTGTTTGGCTCGTGGATTCAATGGGAATCTCAAGTCAAAAAGAAGCATGCACTTAATCATGGAAGCTATATGTAGATATTTCTTTCAGGCTGCTGCCAAGATTATGATGAAAAAGAAAAAGGTAGTTTCACTCCTATCAAGTGTATTTTACTATAAACTTTTTGTTTTCAACTTTTTAAAAAATATTAAAATTCAAAATTACAATTTCAGGGGACAGAATGCTGTAAAATCAGCCTTTTGACTTCACTTATTTCATATATCTATAAGAATGTACAAAACTGTTAATTTTTTTTATTAAATTTGAATTGTAATTTGTAAATACTTACAGATTGAGTAGAATGTGAGATCAGGCTCTTTAAGAAACATTGATTCTGCTCGAATATCGATTCCCGGGACTGTAAAGTATGATGACTCACAGCAGTGGTAAGTTTTTAGGTTTTTTATTTTTTAAAAACTAATTTCTTTTTTCTTTTGTCATTCCTAATTTTTATACAACATATGTTGATTCTTGTAAATTATTTGTTGGAATTTAGAAACAAAAGTTAACAGATTAGTAATTCAACTCCCTTGTAAATATTTTTTACAAATATATTGAGTTCCTTTTGTGCAAATTGACTGATCTTGCTGTTGTATGTACAACTATCGACACAGAGCACGATTGGAGGAAACAGAACAATATTGGAGAGGATGGTAAAAATTAACTCTTTGATATTTGTAGTCATTGAAGGAATTTTTTTATTATGTTTAACTTTCTATTGTTGTAAATAAAAAAAATTCAGGTATGAAGGTCTCTCGGAAAAATTTCTGTCATCTCCTGTCCCAAAGCTGTTGCTGTTGGCTGGAACAGATAGACTTGACAGGTTCTTTCTTTTTCTTCCCATTCAGTGTTGTTTGGATAAATGATGTTTAAAATTTATTTAAGAATATGACAGCACCAGTGCCCTCACAATATAATATATAATAATTTTTAAATAAAAAGTCAATATTATTTCTTGGTGGAAGGGTAATATGGTAATTTTCTGTACCAGGGCTCTCACGATAGGACAAATGCAGGGAAAGTTTCAAATGGTGGTTTTCCGACATACTGGCCATGCAATACAGGTGAGAATTTAATCTTTTCAAATAAACCTTTTTTTTATGATAAATTTAAACAGACAAACTTGGCCATCACCCTTGTCTCCTGATGTCATGGATTTTCTTAAAGAATATAATATGTCTGATATTCTACTTATAATTGTTTTGCTTATTAGGACATTATACTCTAAATTTTTTTCCTAATTAAGAAGTGAAGTCACTTTGTATTTGTAATACATTTGCTAAAACTGGGTAGATTTCTGAAAGTAGAATGTTGTAATAAGATGAAAGGAAAGTAGGATGATGTATAATAGATGTTTATGGGCCTTTCATGTTAATAACAAACTACCACACTCTGGAAAACAATTAAGGATTGTTTAAGCATATCACTTGTTTATGGGCCTTCTTAGGATATGACCTAATATAAATACTCCCAAGTTTCTATCTGTTTCAATAGAATTTTGTATAAATTTGTCCATATACTTTGTGAGACTTAATTTTTTTTCTTACATTTCCTTTATCTGTAGGACAAGGAGGAATCTTCAAGGTCTCTTTCTAGAAATGAGTAACCCCCATTGTAAGAGAGCTTGCATGGCTGTCTGAATTCCAAATAGCTACATTTAGTAAGATGAGTAACCCCTATTGTGTATTTATTTAAATTTTCTTGAAGAATTAACGTGGTTTATTAGTTGTTTCTGATACGAACATGTTTATTGGCTGTCTGAAAGGGAGGTGACACTTGGATTTGGGAATGGATTTCAAGTTACTCAAAAGACTAGCACCACCACTCAGATTCACAAAGTTTATGGAAGCTCTGATCGTTTGCCTTCTGCTCATACATGGTAAGATAATCATGTTTCTCTGTCAAATTACATTTTTGCCCCTGAGCTATGTCACACTGTAAAAGAAGCATGCTACATTTTTCCATATCAAATAACCTTTTTGCCTCTGAGCTATCTGCAGGCACTGCCAAATCCTTCATGAACTGTGAAAAATCTGGAGATTTCTAAGAAGCTCTGCTTCAACTTTTTCCAATGTTTTGGCTTTTGCAGCTGCATAGTTTCCAGACCCCCCAAACATCGCCACTGGAACCTGAACCACATATATAAATTATATATATTTACTTATTTACAATAAACAAAAACTATTTAAATAACACAATTACCTTAATATTTGGTTCCTTTGTTGGATAAGCAGAGGTGAAGTTCCTTGATTGCTGTAAAAAAAGCAATCCCTAAATTTACAATGTATCAAGTTGCAGTCAATGTGTATGACTTTAGTGACAAGTACACTGATATAGCTTAACAAGGTATGTATTTACTGATATTGTTTTGTTCTAGTTTTTGTTTAATGAAAGCTTGGATAGTAATAAATTGATTCTCATAAAATCTTTGCATTTATTTGACTCAGCTCGAATTCTGCGTGGGATTAGAATCGCTGCTCGTTTAAGATTTCAATTTTCCAGAGAAACCACTCATCATAATTAAAAAAAGGGTTAAGGGTTGATTGAATGAGAGAAAAGAAAACACCAACACTCCATGGCTAATAAGAATAAAAAAAATAAAGATATGAGGCAAAAAAGGTAAAACAAACTCGTATGTATGAATATGATTTGTATGGTAATTAAATTTTTAGTGTATGTATGTTTTGGGTTGCATGCAGTCTTTGTTTGGCAGCTTGGACAAACTTGTAGCACCTGATCGTCCATGCCCCACTCTTGGTAAAACAAATTTATAGTGTACTTCTTCCATTCATGTTAGTAATTTCTCATTATGATGTGTTGTTTCTTGTGCAATTTTATTTTTAGGGGGTATTTTATTTTATTAAATGTTTAAAGTTACAGGACATGAGTATGGGCACATCATGGAACATTTTAGGGCAGTTGTTGGTCTTCCTCTTGGTGATCCATCAATGAAGTGGCCAACTTGCATCATGTAATAACATTTTAGGCGAAGATGTAGGTATATGTTTTTTTTAATGAATAATGTAATCATATGTATGAATATGAAATAAAGTTTGTTATTTAGTATGTGATAAGCATGTATAGGGAGAAAACAACTTCTATTGATTTGTTTTTTATTTTTCCATGGATCGATTATTTGTATGACATTAAATTTTATGCAATGGATTGTATTTTTTGTATATGGTATTTTAATTTTTGTTATGAGACATTAAATGCAAATTTAATTTGAAAATTAGTAAATCAATAAATAATATTTTTTTAAACATTTAAAATTACGATACGCAAAAATGTGTGTCATCTTCATTTATGACATGGCCTTTCTTGACAGGGGCTTCCTTGATACGCATTGTGTGTCATAAACACGCGCGTCGTAAGGTTACGACACGCAAATGCGTGTCGTCTTCCTTTATGACAGGGCCTTCCTTGATACGCATTGTGTGTCATAACTGCACGTCGTAAATGCGTGTCATAAATGCGTGTCGTAAATGCGCGTCGTAAATAGACGACGCGCAAAAGCGTGTCGTCTCTCGTTATGACAGGGCCTTCCTTGACACGTATTTGCGCGTCGTCGGAGCGTTTTGCGACATGCATTGCGCGTCGTAAAAGGCTGTTTTTCTAGTAGTGAATTTTGCTGTGCAAATCATGTTTGATTAATTAATTATTTTGTAACCTAGAAAACCCATCATAATCTCAAGAATCATTAGTGAATGATGTTTCTAATAACATATGATCCTATTTGGTCACACGTTAATCAAGTTGGTACTTATTGAGTATTTATTAAGTGTTTGATTATATATAAATAAATCTAGCTCTTCAATTTAATTAGAGAATAATTATTGTTTTATGAAAAAAAAGAGGAAACTAGATATTAAATCATATGGTATGATTAATAAGTCATGTTCAAATGTTTTAGAAACATTGGTTAACTTTATACTTACTAGTTAGTTACCTTTATCTAGCTGGAGAGACTATATAAAGATTTTGTCTCATTCCCTTGCTCATGTCGCAACTTTCAAGAGACATGGGAGGTTGCTTGTCAACCACCACTCCCTTTTTCCCCATGCTTACTTTCTAGTTTATTACTTTAGAATAAAATAAGGTATCATCTTTACTTGCATGGGTATATAAAAGAAAGTGTTGTGCATGCAAAACTCATCTTTTATGTGTTGTGGAAGACCAAAACTGTAGCTTTCTCTATCACTCACTCTTGCCTCTCTTTTGAAGTTAGTCATTTGTGTTTTGGTGCTCCTTTGTGTGTTCTCCCTATGTGCTTATTTGTGTAAATCACTTAAAGGCTTAAGAAACTCAAAATACAATAAGGGAACTAGCATTCCAAAGTTCCTTACTCTTTGTGATGGATACTTGTAGAGAAGATCAAGCTTCTTGTCTTCTGCCATCTATTTCAACACCCCAATTCCAAGTGGGTTCAAAGGCTCCAAAGGTTGTGATTATAAAACCTCCTACAGTTTTTTTAGTATCATTCTAACTGATGTAAAAGGGTCCTTGATGGTTTTGTTTTAAAATGGTCTAAAACAAACTAGTTATTTTATAAATGCTTACATTGTTGTTTTTAAGATAAACCCTCTATTTTATGTATCAAAACCCATCAGTGGTATAAAGCCATCTTTTATATGTTAGAATGTTTTTATATGTTTGATGATCTGTGTTTTTTTAAAAACAAGCATGAATTTCTTTTGGCTAATAAAAGTCCATATATGTTTCTGTGGCAACTTATAGTTTAAAATTGTTTATTTTTATATAACCATTTTCCATGCATTTTGGTTATATAAAATTTGCCTTAAAAAGTGATTTTATTTATTATTTTGATGTTGATTTGTGTATAAACAAGTCATTAGGACATTTATGGTTGTTATTTATTTATTCCTCTGATGATGTAATAGATAAATATGTATTATTTCATTTATTCGCATTTATATGAAATAGATTAGTTTAGACTAGTTTGCTTATTTTTTACAAAAATGTAACTAGATGGAGCAATGAAGATTTTTTTCAAGACATGGTGGTTCTTAAGACCTTTGAAGTGTCCTAATAAGTCATTTAGAAAATGAATTAATAATTGTTGTGATGGCTCACAATAATTATTACTAGAAATGATTTTGTTTATACACTTTATAATGCATGCTTGTGAATTTTATATTTTTGTTTCCATAAAATGTTGTATGCATGAAAATGTGTTTACCATGCTAAAAGACATTTTGACAAAAATAACATCAAGTTTAGTTTGGAATTATAAATAAAAAGGTTTCAACATAAATTTTTAAAAATTGAGTTTCTTGTTAAAAAGAGTTTTATTTTTAAAACTCTTAATTAGCCAAACTTTTAAATATTTAAAAAGGTTAAAAAAAATTAAACATAATTTAAACTCTATAACTTTATAATAAAATGAAGTTTTTTTGGAGAGTTAAAAACCGATTCATATCGTTATAACATCGAATTAAAATTAAGTATTAATTTTAACCGGTAAAATTGAATATAAGATATAAATTCAACTTTATAATTTGGAACCTTATATAATGTACCATGGAATATTTTATGCATGAAATATTCATGATACAAAATGTTTTAAAATTATAGAATAATAAAACATTTATAAAAGCCCTTATTCCAAAACATCAAATCTATGCAATCCACATAAAAATAACTTGTGCATCATTTGTGCAATCCTTACGGATTTTGAGTCACATTATCTATTTGGATTGTCAAATGATGGCCAACGTGTTTTATATTTACTTATGGGATAAAGGTCACCTAAACATTTGTAAAGTATAATTCACAAGATTTTTAAATGGATGATTTTATCAAGAATTTTATGTGATAAAGATCACCTAAGCATAAGAGACTTAAGGCATAGATAGGATTAACATGCCATTAAAACAAAGAAATGTTTTTGGATCCCAATAATTCTAAGAATTACATAAGAGTTGTAATTGGGTATCGCAAACTACCAATCAACATAATCAGTTGTCTTGTGGGTCACCGCCTCAAGGTATTATGTGTGATGTGGATCTTAGCTTTTTTCAATCTTAATTTCAAGGGTAATTAATTTTAAACGTAATTATATTAAAGATATTAAAATGAAACTTATTATTTTGTAGATGACTACCCCAACTATAACCACCTCATCACTCACCATTCGATGCATCCTCAAAAATGAAAAACTAAACAGGCCCAACTTTCTTGACTGGTTCATACAACTTGGGATTGTCCTCAAACTTAAGAAAAACGTGTTATGTCTTTGACGAACCTATCCCAGATGAATTCCCAGCCAATGCTTCCAAGGCACTGAAAGATGCTTGGGTAAAACATGTAAATGATTCAAGTGAGCTGGCTTGCAGCATGCTTGCCACAATATCTCCTGAACTTCAGTGTAACACCCCGACTCCCAGGTATAAGTTTTAAAATCTTATATACATGTTTATGGACCTACTCGACGAGTTGGTTACCCCAACTCGTCATGTAGAGGCGGGTTAGCCCGCATGGATTATTGGACCTACTCGGTGAGTCGGAGGACCCTGACTCGACGAGTAGGAGCTGGAAAATGATACCCTAATTCCTGGGATTGAGCACCCTATTTAAAGGGTCATTAACCTCCCTAAGCCTCCCTTACCATCCCACTTGAGTCCAGAAAACCCTAATCTCGAATACCCTCCATTTGTGTGTATGAAAAAGCTTGGAAAGTGGTTTTTGTGAAGAAGGCTTGAAATCTAAGGAGCTTGGAGCAAAGAAAAGCTTGTGGATCTGACTCTACTTCTTCTTGGAATCATTTTGAAGGTAACAAGTCGTTAAATTGACTTCCCTCTAGCTAGATCTCTCCATGCTTAAGTTTAGGGCCATTTTGGCACATATGTGAACCATTTCGGGTATTTGTCACGATCTAAAGTTGTCACTTCAGATCTGGACTTCTCTAAGTCCCTATAGCCATAAAGTTATCAGATTTAGCAAGCTTGGTCCCTTCTATATGGGTTAAACCTTTCCTTTAACTTGGTTTTGGCATCTAGGACCATGCATACACGTAAAGTTTGCAACTTTATGTGGAAACCATGCCCTAGGAGGCTAGATCTGCAATACGGAGCTTTGGGGTAGCTTAAAAACGTCTGGATGAGAAATGGAGTGAAGGGACTCGACGAGTCGCATAGTCGACTCGGCGAGTCGGATGAAGATTGCCTGTATTGGTCCTGCATGAACTCGACGAGTTGGTTGTAAACTTGGCGAGTCAGTAAGAGGAATCCACGAGTCAGTTAGGGTTCTACCGACATTTGGACACACATGGACTCGACGAGTTGGTTGTAAACTTGGCGAGTCAATTAGGGTTTTGATGAGTCCCGAGTTCTTAAGGAACTAGAAGAGTTGCTAGCTACACTCGACGAATCGGGTCAACATGGACTGTTGACTTTGACCATTTAATTTGACATTGACCAAGGGTTGACCAGTTGACTTATGGGGGGTACTTTGGTAATTTGGGAATTTATGGAAGTGAATCATTGATGAATATAGGTGGTGGAGTTCGTGGCTGGGATTCGAGAGCTTAATCTTATCACTACAGTTCGACATTTGTGAGGTGAGTTCTTCTCACTATATCAACAGGGTCTAAGGCACCAAGGTCGGCCCTTTATAATTTGTATCCTGGTTATAGGATGGTTCCTATGTTAGTGATCTGTATCCTGGTTATAGGATTATGCTATGTTAGTGATCTGTTAGATCAATATCCTGGTTATAGGATGGTTCCTATCTTAGTGATCGGTTAGATCGGTATCTTGGGTATAGGATGGTTGCCATGTTAGTGATCTGTTAGATCTATATGATTATCTGTACTTGCTAGCTAGCGTATGATATTTATGTGCACATGTTGGTTGGTTTGGGGGATTAGGTTGAGGCAGGTCCTGCTTTGTGCTGTAGGCCAAGATACCCAGGGCGGACCGGATAGACTGCATGCCCGGTTAGGGCATACTAGTCA